AATATAGTCTAATTGAATCAACAGTATTATATATCAGTTCCATCAACAAAATAAATGGTCTTCTCAAAAACAAATTATGTCGATCCAAAATAATGTCGATGTTGATTCAAATATAAACATTTTGTTGATCTGCTCAAATAATGATCATTTGGATGAGAATATATCTTTGAAACAACATACAAGTTTCCTCATTCCGATGTAGCAATGAACTCGTTTCGAACGGATCATTTGCTTGAATATATAGCAACGAAATATGTAATATCAATAAAATATTGTGTTCGTTCAACATCAAGTTACATTTTCGCAACTAGATGGCGATCTTACCGCCTCGAATTCATTACTTACGTGAAGCCTGATTCTTTGTGTTTGAAATATCAGCTGGACAAATCGAACTTAGGATGATTAGCAATCCGAAATAATTCTACATCAGCTGGAGAGAAGTGAAGACTGGAGATCTATGCTAGAAGTCGACTAGTTCCCTAGTTTAGTTCATTCTATTGATGTCAAATTCCAGAAAATTCCCGAATTATTACTGAATTTGGTTCAACAAAACAATTTTTCGAATGGAACTACAGTTTCTCCATTCTCTAGAATCAACGAAATATTTCATTGAATCAACAAAATATTTCGTTGAATCAACCAAATAATTTATTGAATCAACCAAATATTTCTTTGAATCAACCAAATATTTCATTGAATCAACTAAATATTTGATTGAATCAATATCTTGCTATATTTTGAATCAAATAAAATGATTGTTTGAACCAATTCAATATCTCTTCATGAACAATTCATTGATGTGCTCGATTGAACAAGATCCAGAGTTCATGCAAGACATATTTACTTAATTCAAACTCCGAATTCGCTCAGAAACAAGATATAGATTTACTCAGTTCAAGATTATATTTTCTCGTGCATATATGATACTTTTATTCGCTTTATTCAATTAAATTTTGCTTGATTCAACAATTCCTTTTTTTTTCGTGTACTTTCGACATCCTGTATCTCAGTGAGGTTGCATTTCAGGACATACGTTGATAGGAACTTTCCACCTCAAAATGAGGTGAAGAATCCGTGTATCAAGTTTGTCGGTCTTATTCTGACTCGCCCTGTACATTATCAAAGATTTGTCTGTAAACACTTGAATGAACGGTTAATTCCCATAATCGATAATCATATTAGTAATATGGATTTCATCTGAAGTGTCTGTAAAAATAAATCAGATCATATTATGATTGACAAGTATTCTCTAATCAATGGTTATCTATCAATCTTTCGTAATATTTACGTATCGGCGTAGATCTCTGAGGAAGATATGGAGCAAGGATGGCTCGCATTTGAAAAATGGTGCGAACCACCCTCATCCTGGGCAGATGATGGTCCATAAGGGAAGTTGGGTGGTTTCTCGAAGGACCAAATGGTAATCGTCAGGAATATTTGAAAATCATGATTTTTTCATACTGGGAGGCCACCAGAAGCAAGCCACTCATGTAACTTTTGAGTAGTTGGAGATGAAATTTATAAAATTGAAATGAAATGTGTTGAATTTCTCTTCGCTGTAGAGTTTATCCGAACAGACATCTACTTCTGATTTTCAACTGGTATTTGATTTATATTCCTGCATTCAATACACCTAATTTTCCTATCAACATTTTTAGAGCATCAAATTATGATTATCTATCATAAAATATTGGTTCTTGATTTAGATCAATTTTATGGAAAATTTCACACCGAACATTTTCGATCAATTTAAAGCCTGTATTTCATATCGTTACCATAGCAATCAAACAAATTTCTTGGAAATTTTTTCGTCCTCCTTGGGGGACGGAACATGAAATTACACTGGAAATTTTTTGACGTTTATAGGTTAAATGACATTTACATTCAACTTCAGATTATTTCGAGTTCATTCTATGAGTCAATAAATAAAAATCATTTATCAACAGTTTACCATGTAATATTATGTAGGTATACTTGCAAATTCGAAATTTACAAAAACACATGTTGTTACTATACGTTAGTTCTTACATGTTATCACAAACAACCATTATTTTCAACTAAATCAGTGTTCTTGGAATTCCTTAGCTTTAAATTGATCGAAAATGTTTGGTGTGAAATTTTCTTACCGAATACCACTTTAGCTTCAATTAATATCCGGGAATTTTTTCTCGAACACGAATATCCAGGAAATATTCAAAATATTCGTGTTCTCAAAAAAATTTCCGGAAATAATTGAAGCTCTCGTGATATTATAAGTGAAAACATCCAAACATATACCATTTCCCCAACGATCTTGCTTGTTTCTTGTAATCGGCTCTGAAGTCACGATGATGATTTTTGGAAAATAACTTGATATTTTTTCAACTAAAAACATGGTTGGCCATGTCTCTCCTAATGTGAACTATTTTTCAGCAAGTTCATTCAATATCAGAAAATTATATGCTCTATCAGCTGATGAATTAAAAGAGCTGAATTAATTCCACAGTATCTCGATGAAATGAAAAATGATTAAATGAATAAATAACAATTACTAGTCATGTTTCAGCTCTACGCTTCTTTTGTAATAAAGACAAAACATTAATCTTTATGATTCTTATATGTATTATAAAAAGAATTTCAATGATTGATGTGATGCCCTCTGCTTGATTCAATTCATTTCACTCATTTCTTGTCTGAATTCAACTGACAGTACTGAATCTGCTGATTTTCTATTCCGAAATCAGAAAAATTCCCTGAAAGTGATAGATACTTGTGAGCAGACATACGATTCATTCCAAATATTTCGACCAGACATTCTGCTGAAATTGCTGACTATCAAATGGTAGTGTGGTTTCAGTGAACTGATGTTATTCCAGAGGGGGAAGCAGGAATGCCCTTGTTTTTATAAACAATAAGTCTTGTCTTATCAATAATGAATTAAAAATATCATATATAATTTCAGACAATGCCTGTTATTAAAATATTTGACGCTTAGAATAATATTCAAATTTCATCAGCTGATCAATCTGCTGCTGATTACCAATGAAAACCATGAGAATTGAAAACGCGTTCCGAATTACAGCACTGTGATTTTGATTTTATATTACGGAAAAAAGATTTTCAGCAGAACCAGTGGATTTACTGACAGTACTTACCAGTTGAATGGGCGAGTGAACTGATATGGTAATTTTCCTAACAAGTGCGGAAAGTGATTCTTTCCCGCACGCGACTGCCGTCGACACGAAGCGAAGTGGAGTTCGGGCAAGCAGTCGAGTGCGGGAAAGAAACTTTCCGCATGAGTTAGCAACAATATTTTTTCTACAAGGGTAGGAATTTGATTGATTTGTTCAATCAATTATTCATCCATATAGAACCAACTAATAAGAGAAATATACTCTCTATCTACTGATTATTAGTAATAGCTATTGTGAACTTACAGTTTGACGCATTATGTATAGGTTCATTGTGGAATAAGCCAGCAAGCCCATATGGTGTTTGGTCTCTAGGTTTCAGACACTTCTAGGAAATGCGCCAAAAATACGTCTTCTTTATTCGGTATTTTCATTTATTTATTGTTGCACCATTCAATAAAACGCGTGTATAGCTTCTCATACCTTTCTTAAAGGACTTCGTTGGTAATAACGCATCTATATCGCATCCCTATAGCTGGAAGTTTTTGATCACATTGTGGCAATTCCACTAAATCGAAAATAACAGTAACGCTGTGTCTGTCACTTCGACAATAACGAACTCATTTGAGGTTTGATTGGCATGACAACAATAATCGTTTCCCATCAGATCAGTCCAAAACTACAGGGAGATTTTCATAATAATCAATCGTTATTTTTCAATATTTCTTAATTTTCACAATAAATAGTGCAATTTCATGGATGATTCTGAACATACATACTTAATACTGCAATAAACAAACTCAAACTCTCATATTCCATCAGCTACCACTTATTTTTTGCCATATTATCATATCTTTGTTTTTCCCGCAATGTTGCGGGAAAATGATACTTCCCAAACTAAATTGCGTGCGGGTATAGGATGAATCACGCACGCTTGTAGAAAAATGAATTATTGGCATTCAGTTACTCCACTGTGTCGTTAGGAACCTAAAATAATTTTCGCAACACTTCCCACACGCTTTTTTTGGGTAAATAATAAGTCTATGCGTTGTTCAAAATCATTGAATTTCACAGCTAATTTCAAACGTAACGTCATGGCCGCCATTTGGCGATACGTCCAATTAATGGTGACATTGTTATTGGTCAGATAATCTTCCATTTCCAATCATGAACCCAGCAAGCACAAAGACATCACATATATGTTTTGAAACATAACATTGAGGACATTAAACATCTCATGCGATGTACTTTTAATATCACATAGACCTGTATGCAACCTCCGAATTTCCGCAACAAGGGCTTTTTAGAGTATATCAGTTAGATGTTAACAAATGCTATTCAATAGATGTTTTCATGACATCATCGTAGGTATGTCATACTAGGACATACAAGTTACATACCCAGCAGAACTTCCATTCTATGTAATTTGTATATATACTTGATACATCATTTTTCAACACTGAAAAGCAAATATTTAGATCCCCTTACTACATACCGATTATGTTCAAACATTATGTCACTCTGCTGTAGATGCCAGAGGTTGTTTGAATATCATCGTCCAACATAGCATTCATGTTCCCAAGAGCAAAAATTGCACAAATAACCTCTTTACCACACTAACCCACTTCACACCTATATGCACATATCCATAACTAAGTTTTACCATCAGGTAAAATACACAAATATAGTTATCAAGATGCGCATACAGGTGTGAAGGGGTTATTTGTGCAATTTTTGATTGTGTGACACCACTGCCTATCCATCCAGTCTCCTTTCCAAAAGCACACAAATTTTACTCAAGCTTTTCTTGAATAAAAAAATGAAAGACATCTTATTGAATTCGTCAAATTTATTTATTCTGGAATAAATTCTAAAATGAAATCATTTAGTTTAGTTCTTCTCCCTGAGCCTTCTCTGCTTGGCATGTCGTAGCCATTCTGAAAAAACGGTCTCAAATTCTTTGCGTGAGCACCTTGTTTTATGATGTACGACACCTATAACAAAAACACCAAAAGATTTACTAAGTGCCACTCAAGTGTTAATTTTTAGGGACTGAAGTGTCACTTTGACACATTAGGGATTAAATTCATTTGAATTTATTTAATCCATTCCAACTAGAGTAAAAATAAACAACGTTATTGTCATGACATTGTTTTTGAACATTGACATTGTGTTACTGATGCTTGACTCTATTTACATGGTTATCTAGGGTGTCCCATAAGTCAAAATATATATATCCGTTTATTTAGTCATAAAAAACTAATACATTGTACATAAAACACATAAATATGTCAAACAACATTACTACATACATACTATACAATAAGAATGAAATGAAGTCAATCATTCACATTAGAGATATGATTCAAAAGAAGGGGTGGTAGGGGGTCATTTCCAATCGAGAAAACCGTATACAGGCTGATCCACGGTGGATGGCCTATTAGAAGTTTCTGGAGAACGAAAAGACAGAACATTCTGAAAATTGGGATGCTTTGATAATTGCACATTCTCTATCCGTCTAAAATATTTTCATCGATACAGTGTTGCCACTTCTTTCAGAAACAACTAGCAACTTCGTTATTTTAAATAGAGCACCCTGTATTTTATTGAATTTTTAGATTCTCCTTGAAAAGCTGATTTCATCAATGTATCACACTTTGGGTCTAGCAGGAATGATTACAGAAATATAGGGTGTTCAAAATCGAGATTTTTCAATTTCAGGATTTTTTTGTGTCGAAACTATTCATTATTGATCAAAACGGCTTACATGTCCCTATCTCAACTTTCGATTCACTATCTACTGACATTTAATTGGAACAGATACAGGGTGATTAGAATTCTGAATCTTAAAGCACCCTGTATTTTTTCCAATCAAATTCTAGTAGATAGTCAATCAAAAGTTAAGATAGGGACATGTAAGCCGTTTTGATCGATAATGAAGTTTCGACACAAAAAAATCTTAAAATTGAAAAAATCTCGATTTTGAACACCCTATATCTCTGTAATCATTCCTGCAAGACCCCAAGTGTGATACATTGATGAAATCAGCTCTTTAGAAAGAATCTACAAATGCAATAAAATACAGGGTGTTCCTTTTGAAATAACAAAGTTGCTAGTTGTTTCTGATAGAAGTGGCAACACTGTATCGATGAAAATATTTTAGACGAGTAGAGAATGTTCAATTATCGAAGAATCGCAATTTTCAGAATGTTCTGTCTTTTCGTTCTCCAGATACTTCTAACAGGCCATTCACCGTGGATCACCCTGTATATGTGGTTATCCAATTATTGATAGTTCAAAATAAGTTATTCAATATTTTTCATTTCTTCCTAAAATCATGTAGTTTGTTTACTGAGAAATTATATACAATAAAACTTTAGACAAAAACTTCAGCCAACGAAAATTTTCGGAATCTGTATGAAATGGGCAACTTTTTTACAGTTGGTCATCTTTGTGGGGTAGTTTTTAAATCCTATAGTGGCATCAAAAAATCAACTGAATTATTTCATTCAACAAAAATTATAGAAAACAACATTTTTCTCAATTGATAGAAAGTATGAAAATTATTTCTTGGGAAAGGTGCATCCTTGGGGATAAAATTTGAAAAATAAAAAAACACAAATGTGAGTTTTATTGAAATATTTTTTTTAAAACACACTACATGATTTTAGGGCGGAATGAAAATTATGACATAAGATAAAATGAGAGGTTTTGTGATTTATGGTTTGATTTCATTATAGCATTGCACATGGATTTTTCAGGAGACGGTTTTTTTTTTAAATTCAGGATTTCAGTAAAAATAATTTTCAGCAGAGTACTCTTCAATGTGAAAATAATTAATATTTGTTCCTCCTGTCAGATCTTCCAAAAGTGTATATTGTATATTAACACTTACCAAATGCTAGATTAGTACACTGTAGGTGACCTACAGCAAAGTTATTCTTCCTTCCCAGCCAGGAGCAAAGTTCTGCTACAGTATTGGTTAGTAATGACTTGCAAATCCTAGTTGTATAATCCTTATGGTCATTTCCTCCAATATTTCTCAGGAATTGTATCTAAAACACCAAACAATGAATTATAAACAAAAATTAGTAAAAATTGCTTGGATAATGTTTTGAACCTATAAAATAATATCTTACATAACATTTCCTCTGTTCTTCAATAGAAAGATATTGTTCCAGTTCTTCGATCTCAGTAAGGGACTTGAATGGAGGTTGGAATGGGAATTTTTCTATTTCAAATTTTTGTTGAGGCGTCATTGTATCCATTTTTTCCTTTATTTCCTCAAGGTCTAATTTCAGAGTTGCCAGAAAATTACAGATTGAATCGAGTTTTTCGTCAAACTTTTTCATTTGGTCATCTAAAATGAGGAGTAAAGATTGCAAGAAATACATAAATAGATGTTGACTTACCTTTTACTGTTGAAGTAGTGGGTGATGAATGGCCTACAAAAAACAAAATATGAATACATGAAATATTCACGTCATATTGATGCCACACACTACATTTACTGCTACAACTACTACCAGTACTACTACATTTTTATTATATTAGCTTACTCCATTTCATGAGGAATCACTCTTCACAGAATAATTGTAACTACTCTAACTACTAATAGAATTAGATGTTTAGTCACTTGAAGACAATTACTTTTGAAATGAAGGTGAGACCAATAAAGAACCTGATGGCAGCAACCTGCCAGAATTTGTAGACATAGTATTTGACAAGCATTCTGACTTATACAATGCCAACTTATCACAAAAAAATGCTGATTGCTGCAATCAGGTTCATTTTTCATGCAACTGTTTATTTACTTACAAAAACTTCCAATAATAAATACTCAAACTAAGATCATCTAGCACTACAAGATTTTCATGCTTTTATTTGATAGTTCTCAATCTATAATAAAAGATTTTATTTCTCTCAAATTAAAGATAAAGATAAAAATATGAAAATATGTTGATGACAGTGGCTTAAAAATATTTGACTAATGACATGAAGACAAATGTATAATATAAGCAAAACCCAAAACAAAAATTCTTTGCTTATGGACACTTATGTGTTTACTAAAAGTATTCCTATTCCTGTTTCTTTTCTCAGTGTCAATATTATTTGAAAGAAATAAAATCGTTCAATTCTGCAAGACTAGAGAATATTCAACTAGGTATACAATACCACTAACCTGATATTAAAGAACCAGTACCCTCTATACTCTAATGATAAACAAAATAGTGTTAATATTTTTTTAAGAACTTTTATTTAAGGAATCATTACAGAACTCTAGCATCCAAAAGAATTGGAAAAAAGTTTTTGAAATAATCTTCAGGTGTATTGTCTATCAGTAAGCTTGAAATTTATTTCAACAATATAACATCTGTGTAATATTTCTCCCTTTAAGCATATAAAATGAAATGCACCTGTGTAAGTTAATTATGTTTGTAGTGTAGTCATGATATAATATTATGTTGACCATCAAAATTATTAATTCTTAACTCCAAAGAAGACTAATGAAAATTTACCTTGAGTTGTATATTATTGATGGCAACTGCTGGCTGCAAGTCCAAATTGGAAGTTTGATCTAGAAGAGGATATAAGTTTGAAAAAACAGAATGCATAGATTGAAGGAAAAATACTTTCATCAGGTAATATGGCTGATGTATTCAATTGAACAAGGCATCTATATAAGTACATTGAAATAAAAAATCTTGAAAAAACCATAACTTACTGGTAATATGATTATGATACTTCTATTTGCTATACATTGCCTTTAAATGGGAGTAAGGACAAAAATCTTACTAATGGTACAATTATTATTTAGTAGTATTCGATTAACCCTTTAAGCATAAGGCATAAGTATGAATATTATTCAATATTCAAATTGTTCACAACTAACCTTGTTCAGAAAGTGAATCACTTCCACTGTCTTCATTAATAATGGGGTTAGTTTCTTCAGAATTTGCCTCTCGATTCAAGAAAGTCATAAAATCGGCATGGTAATTCCTCTCAGTGCTATTAGGGTTATCTGAAATTTTTTACGAGATCAAACATAAAATATGGTACATAAATACATCCTGGCTTATATAGAAAATAATACAGGATATCCCATTTGAAGACTGAAAGTTACTCTGAATTCTGATTGGAATGAAAACTGAATAACAACGTATTTTGTGAAAAAAATGCTTTTATTCCCATATACATGCTCCCAAATTTTATTTCTGTATCAATGATAAAAAAATATATATAAAAGGGATCCATAGCTTGAGGGCTATAACCAGAAGAGAAAACATAACTGTAATACTTTCATTTTGCCATTTATTTCAATAGTATTTCGAATTATTGTGAAAATTAAATTACAGTGATGTGACATCAAAATCATATCAATTACCTTTTTTGCTAACTGTCTTTCCTTCCTTTTTTCTTTGCCCCCTAGCTTTTTCTTCTTCTTCAGCTGGGCTGAAATATTCTAGGGGTTTGATGGTTCTACAGCCCCTACCAACATCTTCCACCTCAATATTACCCTTAGCCTTTTGCTTGGCCTCTGTTAATGTATCTACAATACAAAAAACAATTGTGCAAATATACCAAACTACAAAATTTGGGAGGATAACCAAGTATTTTTATACATACCACATATATATTCAACTGCAACAGGATATTCTATCCAATTTTCTTCAGGAGGAAAACTTCGTGATATATATAGAGAGCAATATTTTTCTGGTGGCCACTTGCAGAATGTATTATTTTTTGTCAACCATGAAATTGGAATCTCAGACACAATCTCTTCATCAGTGTCACTGTTTTCACTGATGAATTTCACCACAGCAAAGCTCATCTAGAAACAAATTGCGCCAGAACATTTTTTTCACAAAATTTAATAGATCACACTATCATTGAATGGTGATATTATTTTCAATTTATTATTTATTTACTTCTTACAAACACACTGGGTAGTTACATGTAAGACAGCTTACTGACTGAGAAAAATACAATATGGTTTAAAATAACAAAGACCTAACATAAAAAAATATAACACAACACTAAACAAAGAGATCTATACTACACAAATACTATCTATACATCACATTCAGATCATACTGGTATATCACTTTATCAGATAGATTCAATTCATTCATGTACTTTTCTAATAAGAAATAATTTTATTAACATTCATAGACTTCAAAAATGTTGCAGGAATTAAAAAAACTCATTAAAACATGTAGTTTAGTGTAAATGCAACCCAATGTTCCCTATAAGGTAAAATGAATACTTTGCTAATGACTTCTACCACATTACAAGTAATTGAATCAGTACTTAAACTACACAAATGAATGCCCAATGCCCTAGAATCGATAGGTTCATCAAAAAAAAATCCTTTTGAATTTATAATGTGCCCCTTCATGAACAATTCATTATTTTCTTCCCAGATTTCACTTATAGATACAAAAGTTCCATTTTTCAGCAAACAATGATTGTCAGGGCTCTGATTTGTAAAAATGGTTCCTTTTAAATGCAGTTTACTACAATTTCGTTTGATTTCTAATTCAGTTTTGAAATATTCATTTCCTCTTGTTTCCTCTTTGAGTCTCTTTACAATTTGCTGCAATGGTTTAGAAGAACGAATGCATATTTTTTTTTTCAAGTGATACATATAAGACTCTGGAGCAAAGGCACTGAAATTATCAAGACAACCAAATCGAAGTACATCCTTAGGTAAATGAGATAAATTATGAACATTATAAGTTATATATTGGCGACCATAAATATGAGCATACTCTAAAATGAATGCATTCAGAAACTCTTGTGCAAAATTGTTCAAGTTGAAGCACAAACAAGGTGAAGCTAGGATTCTTATAGCACAAGACAAACGTAAAAAATTGGAATAGATATTTTCAGGTAAAAAATCTTTGAAGCCCACAACTCCAGTATACAATAAAATTTGCCTAAATTCGGCAGCTTTGTATCTATCAACATCATGTAGAGTCCTGGGTTTTCTAGCAAAATCTTTTGGTACAAAATCTTTATAAGACATCAAAACAACATTCAGCTGATTAAAAATATCGGCTGGGATTCTAACATCTTGCCTACCTTTGTGCCAGAATTGAAGAAGCCTTTTCATGACACCCAGACAAACAAGGTGCATATAATCTAATGGAACCTGAGACACCATACCTATATCTAACTTTTCCAAATTAGAAGTACCTAAATGATGGTCTTCATCTGATTTATTTTTGAAAGAATCATCTGTCCTAAGTGGACTTCCCAGATCATAAAAAGTCATTCTATTAGCAAGGTAATCTCCTTCTTGAATACATTTGCTACACCCATGATAACCTGTATGCCCTTTAGTATATGTTACAAAAGACTTTGCAGGTGCATCACAAACTAAGGCATTGAATTCTATGTTGATTTTCAATCCCCTCCATGCTACACCAGCTACTTTTAATTCTTCAAATTCATCTATAAAATATTTCAGTAGACTATTAGCAGAACCAGGTTTATGATGGCCATGATATATTCCAATTACAAATGGCTTGAAATGAAAATTATTGAAAGTATTTGGAACAACCCAACCCAAAATAGGCCAAAATTGACTTCCGGAGCTTTTACTAAGTGGTAACCCATCTATATTGATATTGATTTTGATTATTGGAGGAACTTTAATGCCATTTGGCAAAGTATCCAAATCCTTTAAAATTGCAGATTTTAAACCAATATGGCAATATACACCTGGCTCAACTTCTTTTATTTCTACATTTCTAGGAGTATTGAGCAAAGTTCGAGCATCATGATAAGGAATATTCAAATTATGTTTTTTTAAAATCTGTAGCAATTTTGAAGTATGATTGAGGGGTATATTACATTCTACTGCCCAATTTTTCAAATCTTCATGAAACTCCTGAGGGTTGTTTGCATCAAGAAGTGATTTGCCACATTCCACACAAGAACACTCTTCATCTGAATGTGCATCATCATCAGTAGTATTAGCATCATAATCAAAATCAAGAGCTGAATCGTCAAAATTGGAAACACTGCATGAATTTAAAGTACCTTCATTTGGGGTATTATGTGCTAATTCTGTGTTCAAAGTGGGTGAAATGAATTTAGAATTTGAAATTGATGAATGATGCTCGCTTTGTCCTTGAGGAACCAAATAAGAATCAACGCTTCTCTTATTGATACTACGTGATATATGTTGTCTCAGGTTCCTTTTTTGCCTAGCAGACAAACTTTTTATAGGTTTTCTATACATACCTTTATCTAGAGGCAGAGGCACCCTTTCTATCTAATCAGTAATCACAACTGTGACCGTGTACTGTGAGGCGGACTGAGTGCACTTATTGATGCACTATTTTGATTGCCCAGGTATTCACTAGGAACTGCAGTACTAGTACTGCAGACCACAAAATTAGTGAAACAAGCGGGAAGCAAGGAAGCAAGATGCGGATTGCGGGAACGTGTACAATTGTATAGGTTATGTTATGCAGTGGCTGCAGTGCAGATCGCATGAATTCAAATTCACCCGAAATGTACCATACACAGGAGTTTCGTCCAATCAGGACGATTTCAGCCTTGGCGGTAAATTCAAACCGTATGAACATTTTATTATTACTAATTTGGCCTAAGTAATCTATAGAATATGAAAAAAAATACAGAAAGTTTACTTACGCGAATTGAAAACCACTTTTTCGCAACAACCTAACCTAACTCGGCCAAAATACACCTATTTCCCGACATATTTCATAGCTTAACTTGAATGATGAAACAATAAAAAAGTATGTACTTACCTTATACTCTTGCGAGAATTGAACTCAGGCCACGGGTGTAGCAATCTGAAGCATAGTTCGCTATACCAAACCCTCACCAGAAAATTATCCTATGGAATTTGATCGAGCCGTGGATTTTTCACAAAAACAACTGAAGCCGTATCACGCACGCGAGCGTTTTGGACGTTGTGATTGGTCTGAAAGCAACTGTTTTGATTATTTAAGTCATTCCAAAATATTTTATAAAATACTACATCTTGGGAAACAGGTGTATTTTGGTCGAGTTCGGTTAGATCGTTGCAAGAATGTATTGTCAATTCTCGAAAAAGTGGACTTTTTTATTTTTCAATTTATTTAATAAAATGATACATTCTGACTAAAATTTGTACTAGGTCGAGTTAGGTAAGATTGTTCGTTTAGAAATTTTTTTTTCCTTATATTCGATAAAAATTAGAAGTTCATACGATTTGAATTACCCGCCAAGGCCAAAATCGTCCTGATTGGTCTAAAAGCCTGCCTATGGACGAATTCGGGTAAATCTGAATTTATGCGTTCAGGCACTTCTTGCTTCTTTTTTATGAAATTTCGAAGTCGCCATTGCATATATACGTTCGGAAATTCATGTTTTACTGTTTTAGGCTCAACAAAAAAAAATATCAACTGAATCATTTCTGAAGGTTATCGAATGTGTTTAGAAAAACATACACAATACAAATTTCATTCGACAACGCGGAACCGTTACGATGTTACATACATGGTACGTCTACATGCGATATTTGAATAAACGTGAAATAAAAACGTCCGGAGGATATTGCCTGTATATACTAACAGGATGTATCTTAATGACCAAGACAGTACATCGCACGTGTAAATGAAATGTACTACTGACGTTCATGATATATTAAGAACCTATGTAACATATGTGACACATAAAGAACATCACGAAACATACTGTTATGTTTCGTGCTTGCTGGGAAGCAAGGTTGTCAAGTCACCAATTATAATCAAGTTGTTTGAGTCCTGTCGTTGAATAAAACATAATATAGGAGGAACTCATGACATTATATTTCATTCTTGATTTCTTGGAGCATGTAAATGTTGGAGACTTGGCAACATTATTGTGCTGAATGCTGATAGCTGACAAGACCACGCCCAATCGTGCGCGGAGCTGTCACGTTCACTGATTCAAATTTCCTCTAGTGTGAATTAATATAATTATTATTTACACAAATTTATTATAAGCAATAAGCCATTAATGATAAGGAAACATTTTGAGACAATTGAATTTTTATTGCTAATTAGAAATATTACCAATACTTCATGAATTACTGAATAACTAATATTTCTGAAGTTCCCAATCGTATTTTAACACCTGGCAACTGTGCTATGGTCTGTCCCTACTTACGAAATCGTGGCGTTAGTTTTTACTGGCGGGAAATTTCTAGCCGTTTGAAAATTACCGTGGCATTATTGATGATTTTAGCACTTAAAAATCGATCGAAAAATTCTTGAGAAATGAAAAAAAAATTGTCAACTCGCCTATTGCTCGAATCATATTATTGTCTCGAATATCATACTTGTGGATGTGTAAACATTTCTTAGAATTTCATTGCGCGTGACATCAAATATCAAAGCCGTTGGATGCAGACAGGACCTGAAATACAAATAAAATTTCCTATGGTACATTTTGCTGGGGATATTCAACCGACTGGATATCTACTTTCCGAATTCAAAAGAGAGCAATCAGGATAATATGCAAAATTAGTCGATATGATACATGTAAAAATAATTTTATACGATTGAGCGAATACTAACGGTTCCTTGTATATATATTTTTCAACAACTTTTATATGTACATAAAAATAAAAATCAATTCAATTTCAGTAATGCGGAAACCAGGCAAAAAAATTACCTCATAATTCTTCCACGTCATCGTACAACCTACTTGGAGAAGCATTGTTCCTATATGGCAGCTACACTGTACAACAAACTACCGAATGTCTTCAAATCACTTTTACCATTAGAGCGATTTAAACATAAAATTAAAGAACTTCTCATTGGTAAAGCT